GGGGGTTATAAGGAGTGAAAGTGAAAGAGAAGACTGAGATCAGGGAGGAAGACACAAAAGATGAGCGGGATTCAAGAAAATAAAAGATGGATATTGACGTAGCATTAAATTTTTACTGATTGTAGTTACCAGAGAAGCAATTAAACAGAAGTGTTTTCCACAGGTGTGAAGTGCGAGAAAATACGCTATTAGAGTAAAAGGGACGGTTGCATTTAGTTATTTCAACAGTACACGGGTGTGTCCTAGATGCCAATATCATCAGGTCACTAATGAAAATTATCGTTATAAAAGTTGTCATGAAAATATTTATAGAAAAGACAGGGGGAAGTCACGTCGCTGACTTAAGTCGTGATGCCTGATCAGCATCAATTACGTTACACATAATTCTTTGGATTTTGTAAAGAATCTCAAGATGTAACACAGGAACTACAGACCAGATATGGCAACAGTATTCAATGCATGGACGAATGATCGATTTGCAATTGTTGTCTAAGTTTTTGCAATGAGGATTTGGCATTATTTACATACGGATCATTGTCCACATCTTTCTTTATCTGTCGAACCTTTCCTACCTTCCTCGGGCGCTTGTCGATCCAAGTAACCTTTGGCTATTTGCAATTAAACACTTATTTCATCTCCGGGAGTAGATTGTCCTCATTCGGCTAAGCATGTCTACGGATATATCGTCTAGTTCTTATTTAGTAATGTTCAGTTATGGCTCATCCCATCTCCAATGAGTCCAAGTAAACACTGCCTGGAGAAGGAATTGAAGTCAAAATTAAGCTACCATATACACGAAGCAACATTTTAATCCACTGACCAGGGGGAGTTATACCTTTCGAGTATGTTCCGTATTGCAGGAGTTCCAGTGGTCGAAACGATACAAACAATAAAAATGTGGACAACAGTTAGCAGGTAAATAATCTAAATTAAGTAGTTTTCTTTAGGTTCTGTCTCGTGGAAAACTGGTAGAGATTTTGGACAGTTAGGATTATGCAAGAAAATACTTTAAGCTACTGGTGGAGCTGGCTATAAACAGCTGCCAATATTCTGGTCAATATTCGAATATTCCGATTTGGTTTAAAAAAAAAAGAAAAGAAAAAACTGTAGATGTCGTTGACGCGTCCAGCGTCTTTATCATGGCTGCAGTAAGGAAGAAGCGTCTCATCTTTGATCTGATAAGCCGTTATTTTTGTTCCGGTTGGGATAGCATTTTTTTTTTCTTTTCGCTTGGATGCTTAAAGTTCAGATGTTTGATTTGACGGGTTGAGATCTCGTGCCAGAACATTGAGCTCATCTTGGAATAACTGTTTAGATATTGAAAAGCTTATTTCCTGCCTGTTCAACAAAACTGAAATCTCATGCTAAACTCCAATTCCTACACTTCCTCGAAAGACGATGACGGAATGCCAGTTCGTAAGATAACCACTTTTATAGGAAGAACATCTTTGTGAGGCATAGGTTGTCTTGCTTTCCAGTCACGGTACTCCCCCTTAGTTTATTTATTACTATTGTTCACAAAATACAAGAAGAAAGGGTCACTAAGTGTAGAAGGTTTTTAAATGTGAGTAAAGATTGTTATTTATGTAAGATAGATAATGGTTTATTCTAAACGTGAAAAGTATAAGATTGTTCTGTATTGCATCAGATCTGAGAAAGAAGCTGACCGAGTGAAACTTCCTCCTTCCTAATGCAGTATGAAGGGAATGAGAATGAGTCGTTTTCCTGCACTTGGCCTGACGGGTCCTAACTGCGCATGTCTTGATACATGGGACCAAGAAATGCAGTTCCACGTCCTAACAACTTCTATAAAAAAATAGCAATAGAATAGCGCCTTCCGTAGTCACGAAACAACATTCGTAATGATTGTAACTGTTTGGCAGCTTTCTTGGCATCAAAGTGGGGCAGACCAAAAGTAGACTACGAGATTTCGCGCGCTTGACCGGAGATACGGAGTGAGAGGCCGGCCGACTGTTCGGCCGCGTACATCACGGCCTGGGGTCACATGACCGGGCGGACCACAATTTCACACAGTTGGACAAACTAAGCGAACTGGACTTCTCCTCCTTTGAGCGCGTTCGGCCGACGATGCGACGTAGTTATCATTATAACACCGGATCTAAAATATTCTCCTTCTTCCACTACAAGATAAGCAAGCCTTGCGGCCGCATCACGTTTAAACATTAGTTCCTGTACGATCGCTGGTTAAACAAAATCGAGCCTGGGGAGTGCATAGATGAGTCACCGCTTGGGGATAGATTGTGTTGTAAGCTTGAATGTCCGGGTCGGTGTAATGGATAAATGCTCGGAATTGTTAATCGGAGAGCCGAGATCCAATTCCGGTTGGGTTAGTTATATTCACTTACGCACCAATGTAGAAATCAAACTCCTCTCCCCCCACGTAGAGGTTATTTAGTAAGACTTGTATCACTAAGATCTTTATAAGCTAAAAATAATTTACATATAATATATTTAGATTTTGGCATTAAATAACTCATAGGGATTTATATCCCGCTAAAAAAATTAACTAACTAACCAAAATAAGCAAATTATACTTGTTCTCCAGAATCAGACATACTTTATTTGATCTTTTTTTTTGTCAACAGAAAGGAATACAATAGTGTTCAAGCGCCATTTTCGACATGTATTAACACATGTGGGAAGAATTGGGGAGAAATTGTTACGTTGGTCCATGTGGCCGCTGCTTTTGGAAATCACACAGCTATTCTTTGTTCTGTTCTTAATGACTTGGGCCTGGGTTTCATAGATCAGAATGTCGGAAGAGAATCCCAGAAATGGTATAGCGAAAAATTGGGAAAATATCATGAAATGATCTCGTCAGCTTGATCAATAAATATCTGTTTTAATCAGGTGCTATGATTTGTTTAGTTTAGTCGCGATCCAAAGATGATTTCAAGGTTAATATTGTACTTGGTATAATTTTAACTGATTACATGTTGTGAAGTATAGATGCTGTGGTAAAAGATTTTAACTTCTTGCTATTAGCAGCAGATAATTCTATAGAATATTGTGATCATTTTGATTTAATGTATTTTATTTACGGTTTATTAATCCTTTATATGCCATTTAAAGCCGAAATTAATTTTGGATTGTAAGAATCATTCAACAATAATTTTTCCACATAAACGTCCTCGTATTTAACAAAAATCTGAGGATAGTGATCTAACCAACGCCTTTATCCACTGTGCCATGTGTCCTTGAGGACATCTGTGTATGTATTTCTGGATATTATAAATCTAATGTCTCAGCAACCATTTTTACCAGTGCTCATATTGCACTTTTTTGTTGTTATCATTTCATTTATTTTACCAGAGCTCATATTGCAACTTTTGTTGTTATTATTGCTTTTCCCTGGCATTCTTTATTACTGGTTCCCATATTGTATGGACGTATTTTATCGTCTTACCCAGGACGCGGATGTAGTTTATTGTCATACCGAGGACGGCGCAAAGTTAGGAATCCACCTATTCTCCCCAGCTTGGGTTAAATAATAATACTTGTATCTCAAAAAAAAAAAAAAAGGAAAAAAATGAGCATTATTATCTCCAAACAAAATTCTTACAGTCTAAAAAATATTTTCTGGCTTTAAATAACCAGCGTACTCGTCAAGTGCATTACTTTATACTTTTTTCTGAATTTCTGGGATGAGGAGTTACCATTATTTACACGATTTATATTCGGACTATTGTCCTCATCCTTTTGTTGTTATCACCAAAGTGTGTCTCCAGGTTTCTTAAAAATAAGAAATAGACGTTATTGCTAAACACGAGCAGAGGAAAGAGAACAGTCTACCTCCGTTGATTAAATAAAGTGTTCTGAATTCCCTTTCGTCCTGGGTAATAAGATGAACTATGTCGGGAGGGGGGATTTGAGGGGCAGGGAACCACCTCTTAAGTGATGATGTTCCCAGTTCCACCCTGTTAGGGTCCCTGTGGACAGATAAATACCCACCCAAACTGGGCTCAACAGACTATGAAATTTAAAAAAAATAGATTTTTATTGGTTTAAAATACGAGCAATATATTTTTGTAACAGAAATTACTAATGCTCAAAGAAAATAAATTTCAGCATTAAATGACCCATAAGGAGTTGATATGCCGCTAACCAAACAAAACAAATGGATCTATTCTAAAAATCTTGTCGCTTGAGTTTGATATGCTGTAAAACAAAATAAAACAAACTCATAGCAGATCTATATACATGTGAGGAAAGCCGCAGTGCACAAAGGCCGAAATGTGTTTATAACCACAGCAAATATTAGGATAATTGGCTGAATATGAATAATGTAAATTACTAAAATTAAATCATAGTTTTTCTATGTTTCTCTGTTTCTCGCCGATTCTCTTGATTTCAGTATGTCCCGTGAGTGTTATATTCTTCAGCCGTTTTTCCTTCCCTAGATGCACTATATATTTCAGTTCATTGTCAATTTACTTGCAATTTCTGTTTGCTTTATTCGCGTCTCCGCCAGACCGTCTCCACCTTTGAGGACTCTCGCAGGGCTAACCTGAAGGAGAAATAATGGTGTGTGTGTGGGGGGGGAAGAAGCGGGAAACCTCACCAGACCAAACCTTTAATTGGTGTCACTGCGACCGGGCTTACTTGTCCCGCATCGGCCTAGTCAGCCATCAGCTTGTCTATAGTCGACGTGGATAGGCCACTTCATAAATCTTCGTTCGTGAAACCAGGCCATAGACAGAATTCGTCGGCAGAATCATATATGTTTTGTTTCAATTTCTTCGTTATTTGTGAAGAGGTTCTCCAGCATTGGTGTCGTATAAGAAGTTATGTAGAAGTTCAGCAACTTCGGCCAAATTTTCTTTGATTGGATGGACAAGATTCTGTTCCTGTTAATATTTTGCTTTGTTTCAAGATAGCACATTTCTTTATCTCTGCCCTTCTAAGCACTTTTGTGACAAAAATTCCGTTCTCTCTTTCTACGCAACCCATTTGTCTTTTTCTTTTTGTTTTATTTTTGTATGAATAAACTCTCTCTCTTCTCTCTCTCTCTCTCTCTCTCTCTAGCTCACTCTCTTTCTTTGCTTCTTTGCAGAATATTTCTTTTCGTTGTTTCATCTCGAGCTACATATTTGTTTTTCTTTCTATGACTCTTTGTGTTTCCTATATTTTTCATTCTTTTTTTTTCTTATAAGATATACATCGTCAGCACTTCTGTATGGAGAAATTGCTAGCAAGCTTAACTCATTGTATTAATTAGTAGCGAGTTTGATCCACACTAGGTGCTCGATTCTTGCGGCTTTGTATCACAAGCGTAGTAAATCACTATAATATAAATTCCGTTCCTCCAACATCGAAAAGCCGTAGTGAGAGGTTCTGAGGTGAGACGAACCCAGTCATGTGTGATCCTAATGAAAGGGAAACGTGAAGTCGAATGTCGAATGAAGAGAAAATACTGAACAAGGAAGAACACTGGAGAAATAGAAGTCTGAAAGAATTCACACATATGTTGGGCCTCTATTGTAGCCTTAGCATGGAAATAAATTAGAAATGGAAGCTTCTAATGATAAAGGAGATATACACGTGAGAGAAAGTATTCAATATCAGCCTCAGTAACAAAACAAAAAAGATTCATTAAGGGCAGTCAAAGATAACAAGCAGCATCATGTCTCCATAGATTAAATAAAGGGTGCTGTTCGGGACTATAGGTTATTCGGATCGACATATATCGGTTGAATACCCCAGAGCTCAACACATTGTAATAACAACAACAACGATGAAGACAAATGTCCGAATGTGAATAGGGTAAATAAATCTTTTCGGTTTTTAATATTTTGTCAAAAAGATTCTATAAATTTGGCACCAACGGATTTCTCTTCCTCCATTGGATATCACGTAAAATCATTAAGAAACAGGAACATTTCGTTAGAAACAAAGAAAAAGATACTAAACTGTTAAGTAATATCTGTATTCCTATTTGGCAGAGAATGATGGCCAATCTCCTCAGAGCTCAAGTATTGACTTGAAGCAACAGGAATGTGTCTATACATAAGGATGCTGAGGATTCCATGGACCGAACATGTGTTCAACGGCAAACTTAGAGAAAAGGGAATTAAAATTGGCACATATCTGAAAGAGATAGTGGAGATTTCTAGAGCACATAATGAAGAAAGCTGCTCTGGAAAATGTGATAGTCACATGACTGATTGAATGTACGAAGAACAGGAAATAAAATATGACCCATCTAGCGCAATTGAGGAAAGAGATGGCGGAACAAGGTTTAAAAGAGATAGCAAAAACTAAAATATTTACAAAGAGCTACAAAGGACAAGAAATTGTGAAGAAACGTGATCGCCAACGTGTTTTACGGACACTGCATATACATAACTTGTGTTTGTTTTATCTTTATAGTTTTTTTTTTATTTCTTTGAGCCTCTTAAAAATTCCAAGTTTTTCTTTCAGTTATGCATCTTTAAAATCCTAGGTTTAATACACTCTAAGCAATATTTTATCACTGTTTAACCCTACCAGAATTATCTTTTTCATTTCTTTATATCCCTTCATTGAGTTTTAGACTTTTGGAACACTTTCCTTTCCTATTTTATTCCCCCAACCCAAAATACTTCCTGTATTCAATTCGTATTCTTTGCGTTCGCTTATTTTCTCTTTCTCTTCACTCACCATTTTTTCTACGCATTTTACCTTCTTATTTTGAATTGTTATTTTTTTTATTTTGACGACCTAATATCAGTGGATGTGTAGGTGTTTTTTTTTTTGGGGGGGGTTTAATAGCGGCTCAGAATGAAATACTGGACAGCTCAGTTCCAATTCCGGTGGATATCGTTGCATTTACTTACGTTCAAACAAACTTTGGAATGGTAAGACTCCACGAATTTATATCTAGAAAATCAGTTGTATATTTCTTTCAAAGTTAGGCAAAATTCACTTGCAACAAAAGGCTTCAGATGCTTTTTCAGAATCAGAATTGTTTCAATTTTAAACACGCAATCGGCTGAAAAGCAATTAAAGAAAACATCGATCACTAATATCTAATCTTTGTCGGTTTTTCATTTTGTTTAACAGTCTCTTTCGTTCTCTCTCTCTCTCTCTCTCGCTATCCTTTTCTTTCTTTAGTGACCCTCGCTCTCTTGTAAACATGCTCACTTTGATTCTCATTACTTTGTAATGTCTACGAATACTCGTTGTCACTATCGTAATGTTCGTTGTAGTAGAGACTTTGTAATCGCAGATACAAATATCGTAAGCCGTTGAAGAATACTGGCGTCAGACGCCTTGGAATATCATTCGCACTAAGAGTACTTGGTCGATAATACTTGCTCGAATAGTAATCTTTATAGTGATATAGTATAGAGAATAGCGGTCAGTATAGTGATAGAGTAGAAACAGTGATCTGTATAATGATAGAGGAGAAATAGTGATCAATTAGACACATGCTAACTCCTATATATTCGTTTCCTCTATGGTCACGTTGTTTACTTAATTCAGTGATGGGATCGCCTGTGTTTGCTCACTGACGAACTATGTTCGAGTTCAAGTATCGAACGCGACACTTTATTTCTATATAACATTACTCATTTCTTTTTTTTTTCTATTTCGTTTACTCACTTATCCTTTTCCATGCCTAAGTCTTCATAGCTTTTATCCTTTTCACCTCATCCAGTTCAGTAATTCGCCTCGATTATTTTTAATCTCGCTCGCTAATATCGATCTTTCAATCTCTATCCATTTTCTCTCTCTCTCTCTCTCTTTCTTTCTTCGCCTTCGCTAGGAAACATTCTTACAGTACATCCCCGTTTTTATTTTTCAATGCCTCTCTCTATTGTGTTTCCTTTATTTCATTAGTTTATTTTTCCTTCTCCTATCCTTCTTGTGAACTTCCTCTCCATTCTTCTCTTATTATCCCCCTTTATTTCCCGCTTACCTCATTCCAGCTTCCTTTCTAATCTTCCTCTTCCTTCCCGCCACCGGTTTCCTTCTGTTCCACTTGCGCACCCCTGCCATGTTGCTACGGGCAATCTTTTTACCGTCTGCAGACAAATAGATATCAGCTAATCTTGAATAATAATTGTCTTCCGTCTGTGCCCCATGGAGACGGAGTCTTCCTAATAGTTGTAGCTCTGATTTTTCCATTTTCGAATTTCGCCGCCATGTCTCGGCTTTAAAATAAGCTTGAACTCACACAACTCGGGATGTGATTCACAAAATAAACGTGATTCTTTGAATCAATTCATCTGTTTTAACAATGTAGGGAACGTAGAACTAATAACCGAAGGCGATTGTAATTTGGATTTCGAAACTAAAAATAGAACGCTAAAAAAATACAGACGTTCTATAATGAGAATGCCTTTCGCCATCGACGGACGTTTATATTCTTTTATATTTTTCCGTTTTTTCTTCTATCTTTCTCTTTCAATTTATCTTTGACTCTGCCCCTCTCACTCACTCACACACAGTCACACCCACACGGTCATTTCCTCCTATGCCAGCCATGTATTATTTCCATCGAATTTGAGACTATTGAAGCATGGCATCAATCGCGTTTCCTTGGTTGAGTCTGCTGCCTTATTCTCAGTGAGGAAATGATTCACACGCAGTTTTAAAATGTTACGTACAACACGATGATAGAAATGATCGGGATGACTCAAGTTTGTTACCTATCTATTAATAAAATAAATCTGTCTATCTATCTTGTTATATGAAGATAATGATACAAAGTGGAATATCTATATACGACGCATTTCGCAGAGAGCGTCTGCTTCCTCTGATTTCTTTAGATTCGAATAAAATAAAGGTAAAGCTCTGTTTAAGGAAAATGCGTTGGGTTCTCCAAGAATAAGTGGGGACGATATATCAAATCACTTTATTGCATTTACGCGCAACAAGTTCCCCAAAATATTCTCCACAGGTTTTGAATTCAAAATCTCCTAGACTATTTGCCATCCAGTCTGTCTTACTATTTGAATGGAGGCAGAAGAGGATTCATAACTTTCCCAAGTATATATGTATATATGCACACACACACACACACACACACACACACACACACACACATACACACACATATATATATACATATATATATATATATATATATATATATATATATATAAACGTGTCAGTATGTGCATATGCCTGGGTGGTTGTGTATGTATGTATACGTATTTCCAGGTATATACAAAAAAAGCTTGTTAATTTCGGTGGACTTATTTAAAATCCAACAGTGACGAAATCATTTTAATATAATATTCTAGAGGAACACGTTTGGGTTCTTTTTCAAATCTGTTAATGATACAAAATAATATTATCTATTTTATTATTAATTACACATTTTAATTTGCATTGGCAATGCAAGTTATTTTCATAATTATTAGTATTCACAGTATGCAATTCTACTTAGATTAAACGCGATAATATATTGATAAATGCAAAAGTTTTCAGAAATTGTCAAAAAATTCAGCCCTGATAGACAGAACAGAAAAAGAAAATAACATAAAGACTCTTCACCTATCAATTAGTTGTCAAACATCCTAGATATGTGTTTATAAAAAAACACTGTAATATAACTATATATATATATATATATATATATATATATATATATATATATATATATATATATATAACGTCATCCACATTGACTGTTTCTGCTGTTTCACAGCTCATCATATTTATATATATATATATTATGTATATATATATATATATTACTATAGTAAATTGCATAAATATATGTTGCTTTATGATTATTTAATAATTTGTTCTAATGAGTTAGGAATATTTTTTTTAAGTTTAGTGTCTCTTTACGTATTTTATTCAGTTATCATTACTGCAAAACTTCTTTTTTTTTTTTACTAGAGTCTATGATTGATGAAAGGTGGAGTAATGGTTCGCGACTTGGAGTGAGAATTCGGAGATCCTAGTTCGAATTACATTCTTTGCATTCACTTGTGTATTAATACCCTTGATAAAGGTCTGTATCCAACTCGTGCTTTCAGGTATGGGTAAATAACAACATATTTGTAAACCTATCTTGGAGAATGAAAACTTTCAATTCAAACCCCATACTCTCATCAAGGTCCTGTCTCTTTAGATTCAGTGACGAAGGGCGGGGTAACCACTATATCCCCAGTACAAAAGGAACCGGCAAGTAATTGCACTATTATGCAGTGAATGCCAACAAGAACCACAGTCGTTATCACAGCAGCGTAAACTCTGCTACATGAATAAATGTTTATGAAAATGCATTATCTATATAACGCAAAATTCGTGATAAGACTGCCCAGTTTAGATCTTATATCTCATTGTATGTCACCATATTTCCTTTTAATTCGTATCCAACTCTTTTTTCGTCTCTCCTTAACATTAATTTCGCTTTAATGTTATTTTCTTTATCGCCACCTCCGATTTCCCGCCTTCAGCCCCCTCCTTTATATCTTCTCTTTCTCCTTCAACATTTCATCCTTTCTTCTTCATCTTCATCACCGTCTTTTATTCTTTTTTTAACCACTTCCTTATTCTTCAGCTAATCTTCGCCTACTTTTCTTTTATCCTTTTCTTTGTCTTCGCCTCCTTTTCTTTTCTTCCATTGGTCTTCAACCTTTTTTTTGTTTTCTTCGCCTCCTCTTTCCACCTCATTTCTCTTTTCTCATGTTTAGTCCATTCTCTTCTTCTTCTTCTTCTTCTTCTTCTTCTTCTTCTTCTTCTTCTTCTATTTCGCCGCTTTCTTCAACTTATCACTTCCTTCTTCATAATTTTGTTTTACTCTTCTTCTCTCGTTTCTCAATCAAATCATTATCATAATCCTTCAGAATTCTTTTTGAGATTCACACCGGCACCAGTAGTCGTGTAACATATGCTTTTCATCTTAAGATGTCTTTTGTAATACGGGAAATATCGTTGTACACAATCAACTTTGAAAGCTTTTTTTATTGCCTTTATATCAAGCCGACATTTTTCAATTTCATTGATACAAGCTTGTTTTAACGAGCAAAACCAACGTTTCCTTTTCATCCACATCGAATGCGTTTAAACTCGAAACAAACCGATAATCACCAGCGTCCACTGAGACTTTCGATGGGAGAGTCACACGGAATGGCGACGGGAAAGCAATTCCAGCCTGGTGACAGAGCCGCACGTGCAGCAGCTATTATGAAAGTAAGACGCAAGGGAATTTGAAAAGTTTGGAGAAAATAGCAGCTTCTGTCGAACGTCCCACTGCACGGCGTTTGAGCAAATCATTTGAAAACAAATTACTGAGTTATTCCCGAGAAAATCGGATTGGGGACAAAAGAGAAACTATTGCTTCTTTGTTTTCGGAAAGTGCACATGAAGACACAAACTAGGATGATCGCTAAGAAGATTTCTCCATTCAGAAAACTTGACGTCAATCACTATATGTTTAACAGGTAATAACCAAAGACACGTTGATATTCATTGAGCTTAAATTTAAACAGAGCGACAAGAATCGAATATTATTTGGGATCTATATGAGGATTAGTTTCACTGGATATATGGGGCCAGCTTACAAGGCTTAGCTTGAAAGGATCTCTTGATAGCTACATTCTTACAGGAGAACGGTTCCCAGTAAACCATTACTATTTTTTTCTTCTCTTGTTTGATACCTCCGGCAGCATAATCGGAAGATTGGAGGTATATACAGACATGGAACTTACACTTAATTGACGTTGATCCCAGGTTAACCTTGACCCGAAGTGATATCACCTGTTAGTCTCCCAGCTATAGTTAAATAGTGAGCCCCCAACAAAAGATTATAGCACTAGAAAAGTATAAGAATACATTTTTTATAGTAAAAGGTAATAGCAATATGCTTTTATTAAAATAATATTAGTGTTACATTTTTGTAGTAAAATTACCAGCAATATATTTTTTTATAAAAAAACATTAATGGATCAATGGATTCTTATAGTAAATTTGCCAAACGTACATTTTTATAGCAAAAACGCAATCAATACAATACTAAAAAAGTATATAAATATATTTTATAGTAAAATGACAAGCAATCCATTTTTTAAAATAATGTACAAAGTATATATTTAAAAAAAAAAACAAAAAATACGTTTGCCCTGGAAGTACAAAATTTTGCAAAAATATATGTACTTGAAAGTATAAAATTGCGTTCAAAATATTTAGATTTCGGTATTCAATAAATCATAGGAACTAATATCCTGCTGAGCAAAATCAACTGCTTTTTCCGACATTCAAACCAGGGTATTTCATTCAATACCAGTATTCTGTTTGATTCTAATTTTACATGCCATGGACGTTCAGGTCGTTGTGGTCATGACCCTGAACCCATTCTTTTCCTATATTATCTATGAATTGCTATGATTTATTTTGAGCGATAGCGGGTTGGTTTTTCGTTTCTTTCTCACCAGATCTATATTTAGAGAAGCCATTCTTCTAAACTGACTGCCATCCAAGTCTTGGTAAACTATTTTAAAATGCAATTTAACCTATAACCAGGTGTACAGCAAATGGATGCACAAATTTTGCAATATCAATCAATTATGTCTGCCGCTAGGAAAATTGGTTAATTGCGTTGTGCTCGATAATTATTCACGACAGAATCTATCTTACACATATATAATTATACAAATTTACCTTCCGATATTTCCGCCATATTTGACCTAATACTCCTGCAATATATTTAAAGATTCTTGATGAAATACAAAGGATAATCTGCAATTTTTGTGGGTTTGAACTGGTATCCCGGCTTTGGTTACTCTCCCACTGCCATAACGTAATTTCTATGTGCCTTTTCTATAAATACATCCATGGTAATTGTTCTGCTCAACTCTTCTCTATGCTACCGAGACTTTATACATTTTAACGCAGCACTAGATTAGCAACACGGTCTCATCATTTTATAGTTGAATTGGATGGATGTAACTTCGTTTTTACTAATATTTTCTTCCCACCTGTTGAACTATCTTCCGACATCTTACTTTCCAGCCAACATTGATTTGCAAATAATGTAAATGCTGTGTCAATCGTTTTATACTGTCTTCTCGAGTCCTTTTCTTTCATTCTTCTCTCTTATTAATATATTTTTTCTTTTTCTCATTCGTTTTAGTACATTAACACTTTGTGTTTTAATGGTTCTATTGCATTTATTGTAGGAAATGTTTTTGTTTTTTTTTAAATAATGTACGAAGTGAAAACAACAGAGTTGGACAAAACTGTGAACTGATTCTTTTGACAATAATCTTTGTCAAGTTCCTTAATCTTGTTGTTGCTACCCATGTCTGAATCTGTAGTTTTCGTTAGTTTACCGCATTTGAAGATGGCTTTGGCAGAAATGTCGATTCCTACCACCATCCTAATGTCTTCACTGAACGATTTGACAATGGTGAATATTTTTTCTGCTGGTTGTCATCCTTGGCAAACATTTTAAGATCATCAATATAGAATAGGTGACTCAGTTTATTCTGTGACTTGTATCCGTAGCTACCGTTGTTCAGTAGGCAGCTGATTGGCGTAAATCCAAGACAGAAGAATAATTGTGACAATGAATCTCTTTTGTTTTTGATGTTGATTAGTCTCGATGTTAATAACTCTTTTGTATGGTTTAGGTCTAGTGCAGTCTTCCAGTTTTTCATGCTCTCTTTTATTAATTTAACCATTGTGGGATATAACCAGTATATTTTTAGTATGTCATGAGATGCGTTTAGGATTTTGATATTTCCTAACTATATCAACCATAAAAATCGAATGGAAGTGATTTTCTCTAAAAGATCAAGTAAATAATAAAAACAAGACAACATATTTTCTAATCAATGAAAATGTGTTTTTTCCAGGTTTAATGTAATTATATTTGATAAGATAAAAAACAAATCGGAAACGTTTATCAACCTAACATGTTTCTATTTTATTATAGCTACATCAGAGACTGCAATATGGAAAAACGAAGAAAGTAATGCTGTTATTTTTTCTTTTGTGTTGTTTTATTTTCATTAGTTAATCAGGATTCACGTGCATTATAATTGTTAAACAAACCTTAGTAGAATTTGTAGCGTTCCGAACACAAGGAATGACGACGCGTCTATTTGAAGATTCAAGAAATTAATGAATCCAAATTCATTTCATTACATCATATGTGCTATATTTAAGAATATTAGTGTATCAAAAGGAAAATACATACATACACCCACTACTAGAGAACACCTAACAAGAATAGAACTTAGTAGTAAATATCTGCTAGATTAGATTATCATCACGAGCACATTTGTGCAGTACAGTTAATCACAAAAAAGTGGAGCTGATTCGTATAATTTGAACAGGATGTACAAAAACACAGCCTATGGTTTAATTTTTGAGTGAAAGTAATTTTTATATTAATGCCCCCACACAAAGCCTAAGAGCCTCTCAAGATAGAGGGTTACTGTATAGTGTTGTTAGAACTTATAAGAATACCAAGAAGTAAAATTTATTGGGTTATATAGGATAGGCAACGGTTAAATCTAGACTAGAATGGTCAAGATTGTCGTAATCGGGAAATTATCCTGCCGAAAGCCTCTTCCACAATATAGCACATCTTGGGACGAAGCTGTCTGAATGAAATTTCTTTCTTATGATAGGAATACAAAAGGATTGAGGTTGATGCACTCTTGAGTTCGTAACAGGGCTGGTTCCAGTTGTAAATATCAGAGATTTTGGGACTAACGAATGTAGCTAGTCAGAACAGATGTCATGCAAGTAGCGAGAGAGCAGTGAGAGGTTTCAAGAGTTCTTCTGTTGAGAAGAGCTTGTGGAATGGAACAGAGTTCATCACCCAAAAGCCTGCTTAGGGGCTTTTGAGACAGGCAAATGTTGTCTGTTCAGCTCCATCACCGATGTGGTAGTAAGTTTTACATGGTAGTCTATAGAGAAGTGATGTAACAGAGGGAGGTACTGTTTGACGGACCAAATAATTATCAATGAAACAATATTAAAAGAGGTGAAAACTAAGAAAAGAAACATATTGATAGCATGAACCGACTAAAGAAAGTGGTTCGAAAGTGTACCACACACATGGATAGGGAAGAGCCTAAAAATATACAGATTATGCCCCACGGTAGAGAAATTAATAAAAGAGAGCATGAAAAAATGGAAGACTAAACTAAACCTAAACCATAAAAACGGGTTATTAACATCGAGACCAATCAACGTCAAAAGCTAGGTCTTCCAACGAGATTCATTGTCACAACTACTTTTCTGCATTGCAGTGACGCCACTCCGCTGCCTACTGAATACAGTAGCAACGGATACAAGTCACAGAATGGCAGACTGTATCACCTATTCTATATTGATGATCTTAAAACGTTTGCCAAGGATGACAACTAGCAGAAAATCCTATTAACTAGTCAAATCCTTCAGTGATAACATTAGGATGGAGACAGGAATCGACATTTGTGCCAAAGCCGCCTTCAAAGGCGGTAAACTAACGAAATGTACAGATTAAAACTTTGATGTCAACAACAGGATTAAGGAACTAGACTAAGATGGCACATAGAAATATTTAGGAATTTATGAAGGTAGCGGAGAACAACATTCAATTATGAAGAAAAAGATCCGTAAAGAATATTATAGGAGAGTGCATTTAGTAAGAAAAAGCGAACTTAATGAGGCCAATAACATGAAGGCTATCAACACGGTAGTAACATACAGCTTCAACATTATTAAATGGAAGTTGAATGACATTAAAAGATGGAACGCCAAGGCCAGACAATTCGTATCCAAATGAGGATTCACCACCCGAATTCAGATGTTGATAAGCTGTATGTAACAAGAGGCTTAGGAGA